ACAGCCCCGACTCTGTGGGATGCTGTGGAGGTTTAGAAGTCAAGCATGCCAGCACTTGGCCTCTGCGGGGGCTGCAGAAGGGGCACCCTGAACAGCAGCACCCCACAGGGACTGCCGTGAGCTGGGGCGGGGGAGAGACCAGGGAACCTTCTGGAAGAAGATGTACTTCTGCTGAGCTCTGAGGGCCCAGAGGGTTTGGAGAGGGGTCAGGCCTCCCTGACTGATGGGCGAGGACGTGTGCAGCATAGCAGCAAAGCATCATGGGAGTGCAAGGTAACGCCCAGGTGGAGGGGTGAGCCTGGGTCGTGGGGGCCCCAGAGCTGGGCTGGAGGCGCTTCAGTTTACTGGACGCCCCCCCAGGGGCCGGCCCTGTGTTCAGTATTTGACGGTGGTTCCCACGTCATCAACTGCCTTCCATAAAATTCTCCCCATTCTAGAGACGCGGGAGAGGATGACTGCCTCAGGTTTGAGTGCCTTCTTCCTGACTGCAGAGCGCTGTCGCTAGCTGCTGCGCTCGCTCGGGGCTGGCAAATTACAGCCCGAGAGCCAGTGAGCTGTTTTTCTAAATAAAGTTTTATTGGAACACAGCCCCACTCAGTTGTTTACACATTGTCTATGGCTGCTTTTTTATAGTATGAGTTGAGTAGTTGTGGCAGAGACCATATGGCTCGCAAAGCCTAAAATATTTACTGTCTTGCCCTTTTCGGAAAAAGTTTGTTGACAAAGATGGCTGAGTCAGGAGACCCAGTGTAAGTCGAGCCCTACACTTGCTGTGTGAGCTTGGGCAAATTGCTCGCCCCCTCTGAGCCTGTCCAGCCAACAGCTGAGGGTTATGGTGAAGCTTGTAAGTGATAGCTGTGAAATGTTTTGTAGACTGTAGGGTGTGGTGCCCTATTGCCAGCCTGGCACCTGGTAGGCACACAAACTCTGCTTCTTGGCGGATGAGGATCAGTCAGTGTGTGATTGTGTCAGCCTTCCTAGACCCAGCTGCTGGCTGCTCCTGGGACTGCAAGGAGGCGCCATCTGGGCCCGAGATGCTGAATGCATCATTGTCCCTCTCATGCAGACTTGGCAGCTTTCAGTGTAGATTAAAATTCTTGTGGGGAGTCACCTTATATGTGGTACCGCTTTATAGCCAAGTCATTACGGTAATTTGCAAAGCTTTCTGCTGTGTAACTGGAGCCAATTGCTTCAGATTTGCTGGCTCTGACCTCATTCGCGCTGCTGGGCCCTGCATTTGGTGACCCTGGAGCCTTGGGGCTTGTCCTTCTGAGCCTGGCCTCAGTCATCCAGACCTGACCTTCCTGGGGATAGAGTGCTTCGCATACAGGACCCTGCCTCCCTGCCCTGTCCCAAGCTCGAGGATAAATGGAAGAAATAATGTCATTATCACCATCACCTTTTGAGTGTTTACTGTGAGCTAGGCAACATGCCAAATGCAATGTGTTCATAATCTCACTTAAATTGTCGTCACACCTTGTGAGGTAGGTGTTAGCACCATTTTACAGATGAGAAACTGAGGCTTGAAGAGGAAACTCGTCAAATCCTTACCTAGCCCTGGGGGTGCCGGCCAGGCTCTGCTGTGGATTTGCTGTGTGACCAAGGCAGGTCCTTTCCCTCTCTGAGCCTGTTTCTTCAGCCATGAATGAAATACACAGTGAGGGAGTCCCAGCCCTGACATTCTAGGATTTCTCACCATCTTGTAAAAATGAGCACAAAACCTCCTTACCTTCCAAGTCCCCAAAGAAGCTTCATTTATGTGGGGAAAGCCAGGTCCCAGGTCTGCCCTTGGATCCCTGTGGCACAGAGGGAGACATGGCTGCTGGGTGCCTCAGGGTAGTGGGGTCAGCGTTCCCCTCTCATTCCCTTGTCTCCCGGGAGAAGACTCCATCCTAGCTCCCCAGATGGAGAATGAGCAGGGGTGGGTCCTGTGATGCCCTTGGGGACAGAGAGGCAAGATGCCAAGGGGCAGGGGGCAGTGGGAGTTCTCCTGGCTGACTTGGGCCTGTGGCGGGCAGTGGTACCGACATCTTTCCAGTGGTGGCAGCATCTTTGGGACACACGTTACAGCCTCTGGTTTAATTTCCAGCCTCTGGGGAAGTCGGTCACCTGGGACAGGGTCTGGCATGAGTTTTGTGAGATCTAGGTTCAGGCCTCGACTGTGCCGGCAATTTCTATGTGACCCGGGGTGGCTGTTTGCCAGCTCTGGTGCCTGTGTCCCCCTGCAAGGTGGGGAGGCCGATGCCTTCATCCAGCGTGCTGTGAATGTCACACAAGACAAGGGCTTGAATGGAGCCCGGAGCAATGCCAAACGGTGGCCCAAGGCGCTCCTCCCTCTCTCCCTCCCTCCAGAGACAGCTTGTTTATTTCCTGTCGGAAACCCTCTTACTGTGTCCAGAGGACAAGAAGCCAACAGGTCCCAATTGTTTGTGGAGTAACGACTGTTTCTTCCCTCAGAGGTGCTGGGTTTGCATCTCACCTCAGCCCCTTACGCCCTGAGTGGCCTTGGGTCAACCACTGAAGTTCTCAGAGCCTTCGTGTGCTTGTCTGTAGATGGAGGGTAGGGTTGTCGCCAAGGCTGAAGTGTAGGAGTCATTGTAACGCTTGTGCCTTGACTTCCCCAAGGGCTCCCCACGTGATCTTCTTTGGCGTCAAGGTGGGCTGCTTATTTGGGGTCTGGGAAATCTGGTGTGAGCTGTGGCACCACCTCTTAGGGACCCCTGAGCCTGGTCATGGGCACCGAATCTCTCCAGACCTCAGCGTTTCTCATCTGGGGAGTGACTGCTGTGAGCCCGCCTCACAGGGATGGATGCTTGAAAGGATCAAGGGTGCCCGGCGCAGAGGCAGGGCGGGCCAGCAAGGGCTGGGTAGCGCTGGGCTTCGAGGGCCCACCTCCCATCCCTCTGGCATCCTCCTAAATGACCGAGGTTGAGTGACCAGAGGCCCCCAGCGGGTCTGGCGGGTCCTTGAAGGAAGCTTGGCCTCCCAACCCCAACTCTGGGAGTGGCGGAACAGCGCTGTGCGTTAAGCTCTCTCTGCTCCAAATGCTATTAATGGTCATAAAATTATCCACAGTTTTCTGAGGCCCAGGCCCAGGGTTTGCCTCCGTGGGACAATAAAATCGCCTGCAGGAACGGCTGGAAATGGCAAAGACCGCCAAGCAGAGACAGAGTTAAGCGAGCAGCAGCCTGCTCTCATTAACTCGGGCCATTCGCATTTGTTACCAGGGATTTCTTTTTAATTAAAAAACAACCAAGTTATTAAAATATAAGCTTGTGCGGGGCTGGCCGAGCAGCAGCCGAGGCCAGTGGGAGCTGGTGTTCTCGCAGTGGGATGCCCGCCTGGCTTGGCCCCGGGAAGGTGGCGGGCACGACTGGGCGCGTGTTCACAGCGCCCTCGGGGCAGGCTCCCCGTGCCTGGGAATGTGCCTGGGAACATGCCTGGGAACGGAGAGGCTCCTCGGAGCATCTCACCCGCCTGGGCCTTCAGAGCATTGTATTCTCACCTGCAAACTGTAAAGTGCTAGTCAGGTGAATGCCTGGTGCCTGTCCAGAGCCACGGTCACATGGCGAGGTAGCACAGAGTGTCTGGCCTCGGCCCAGGGGTAATTGGCTGAAGGGGCTGCCCTGGGGTTGGGCTAGAATGAGGGCTGGAGGAGGTGGACCCTCGAGGATGGGGTTGGAGTTTTGACTTCTACGAGGCCGCTTTATGTATTACATAGCGATAAGACATGGGGTTTGGGGCTGACAAACCTGGGCTGGAGATCCAGCCCAGACTCTTACTAACTATGGGATCTCGGGCGAGTAACTTAAGCTCCCTGAACCTCTGCTTTCTCCTCGGTACCACTGGGCTGGTAATACTCCTGTCTCCCCCGAGGGAGTGGGGAGGCTCCGAAGAGACCGTGTTGGGACCACCAGCCTGACCCAGGGCCGCACATACTGCGCAGCAAACTGCTCCTGTTGTTCGTGTTCTGACGCTTAGGGGCTGATGGTATTCTGGTACCAGCTCTTTGCTCATCTTAATGGTTTCTCTTGCTTAGCGTTGAAAGCGCCTGGACGATACTTGGCCCTGTTAATAACATTCTGTTACCTCTCCAGGGCACTTTCTGCTTTTCAAAGTGCTAGCTGACAATAAGAACAATTTCCATCCCTGCTGTACCTACTCGGTGCCAGCATATGCGAGAGGCTCTGCACCTCAGCTCTCAAAACCTCACAGCATCCCTGGAGAGTTGGCGTGGCTGTCTCCACGCCGGGGTAGAGGTGCAGGGGGGCTGAGGGTCGGCCTCGGGGAGGGTTGGCCTCAGGGAGGGACTTCTCCAAGTCCCAGACTTGGTTGGTGGCAGCAGGGGCTCACACTGAGGTCCATCAGGCCCCGGAGCCCATGTCCTTTCCTCCTTGGCACGACCTTGCCAGGGGACAGGGCAGGAGGCCTAAGAAGATGGTTTCCAGGTTAACCCTTCTCACACTGTAGATGAGAAGACTGATGCCCAGAGAGGGGAAGGCGCTTATGACAGGAGCCGTGCCTAACATTTTTGTTACAGGTCTACTGCCCCAGTCAGTTCCTCTTCGCGGAAACCCAGGAGCTGGGCGAGGCAGGGCGTGCGGCAGGGTGGCTAAGAACCACGCGGGACACAGAGGGGGAATAACTGTGGGGATGGTGGATTGTAAGCTCCAGGAGACGGGAGCTGTGCATCTAGCTCCCCAGAGTTTCCTGCACCTAGAAAGGTGTCTGGTACATTCTAAGAGCTCAGTGTTTGTGGTCACTTAAGCACGGGAGCTCAGCGTCCGCATTTGAGAAGTGGGGATTTTATTACTAATCCCGCTGGTGATCACGAGAGTTACACGAGGTCTCCCGGTGCCTTAAGCACAGCAGGGGTATAGTTAGTGTTGGCTCAAGGATGCTCTGTCCCGTGCTGTACCCCAATGATGGACCTCTTCTTGCACCCCTCTGCAGGCCACCCCCGCTCACCCTGTCTCCTCTCCCTGTCTTTCTCTGCCTAGTGAATGGGAGCTACGGCCACTGCACCCCGGGCTCGGAGAAGAGCCTGCTGGACCTGGACCTTGCTGAGGGCCCCATCCCCACCTGCCACCAGGGACTGTTTCTCCCTGCGGGAACCCCACCACCCCGGGGCCACCCCCCAGCCTGCGAGAGGCTGCTGCATTTCCCCCACCCCAGCAGGTATGTGCTCCATCCCCTCCGTCAGCTGACTTCTGTGGACGCTCCCTGGAGGCCAGGGACCAGGGGCCTCCATATCTCAACTGGTCTGCCTGGCTCGTGGGACACATTGGGAAACTGAGGCAGAGGAGGGCCAGGGACCAGCCAGAGCCCGGTAGCACAATGATGGCTGTCTGGTCTAGGCACTGCAGGGCCTAATGAGAGACAGAGATGGTTTTATTGGGTGCGTTTCCTTGGGCAGAGCCTGAGGTGGCCTTTCCCAGAGAATCAGTGATTCAGAAGAGGAAGGTTTGGGGGTGGGATGGGGAAGGAAAACCGAGCTCCAGTCCATACAGTATCGAACCCTGGACTGCTCACGGAGTGGAGAGGGGTTCTTCCCTCTGGGCCATCTCCTTCCCCAGGAAGCTGTCACCCCACAGAACCCTGCCGGGTAACCAGCATTCAACACCTGCGCATTTCCAGTGACATCCACCCTGGACAGATGTTCCATCAGCTTGCACATTGAGCTGGAATCTGCCTCCTGCAGCTTCTCCCGGGGTCCCAGCTGTGCCTCTGTGCCCTCTGGTTTGCTGACAGGCAGAGGCCAACCTTGGACAGGCCTCCGTGCCCACTTGCTGGCCTGAGGCCTGTTCACAGATCAGAGGTTCTAAAAACTGGCCCCGTTGCCCATTCTCAGTTTGCTCCTTCACCAGGCATTTATCAAGCGCCTACTGTGTGCCCAGCGCTGTGGTCTGTGCTGGGGGTGCCTTGGCGAAGGAAGCAGAGATCTCCCGGTGGTCCTTCCTTTCCAATGGGGGCTGCACGGTGGGAGATGTTAATTACTAAATAGAAGATGCTAGTTCTTCCCACACAGAACCATTTTTCTTTGGGAATGTAGATTCCCCATGGCCGCTTTTGATATTGTGAGACTTCTGATTTATAGGAGTGTATTGGCCTGCTTCGGCTGCCATAACAGACACCACAGACTGGGTGTCTTAAAGAACACAAATGTACTTCGCACAGATCTGGAGGCTGGAAGTCCAAGATCAAGGTGTTGGCAGGTGTGGTTTCTCCTGAGGCCTCTCTTCCTGACTCATAGACGCCACCTTTGCGCTGTCTCCCCATGGCCTTTCCTTGTGCGCATCCCTGGTGTCTCATCCTCTTCTCACAAGGACACCAGTCATATTGGATCAGGGCCCCACCCTTATGGCCTCATTTGCCCTTAATTCCCACCCTGAAGGCCTGTCTCCAAATGCAGTCACACAGGGGGCTGGACTTCAACTGATGGATTTAGGCGTCACGATTCAGTATGTAACAAGGAGCCAGCATCTTTCAGACGTGGAGCTGTGCACTGTTTGGTGACAGTCAGGTGCATTTATCTGCTAGATTCTTCACTGGGGCTCCCCCGCGGCCTCAGGTGTCTCCAGTGAAGTTCTTTCCATCTCGGGGCAGAAGCTATGCTCACCTAGGGGAAGCTACGCAAGTGGTTTTTTTTTTTTTTTTTTTTTGATAGAGACGATCGGAAATATTTGTCATTTCGAATGTCATTTTGACAACTTACGGCACAGAAGAGCCTGCACCCGGAGCCCCACACTGGCATCCATATAAGCTGCTGCACTGCCTCCCGCCCCCCAAAGTGGTTGGATTTGATCTGGCGCTCTTAGACCCCCTCACTTTCCTAAAGAATAGAGGACCCTGTCCTCCTCCCGCTGGACTGCCTTGTGCCTTGTGTGAGGCCGCTCCTGGCCATTCTTGCTGCCCCCTCCTGATCTCAGGCCCCTCGATGGACCGCCTGGGTTCCTGCGGCAGCTGCACCAGCCAGCCTCCTTGCCTCCAGCCCCGTTTTCTCTAATACTATTGAAAACAGCTCCACTTCCTGAGCGACTGCTGCCTGTGACATTCTCCCATTTAGTCCTGCCAGTCCCAGGAGGCCCTGGACCTACTGCTAATAAGTGACAATCCTGGAGTGCTTACCGTGTGCCCCACACTGAGCCAAGCTCTGTGCGTGTTAACTCACTCAGCCCACAACTGCCTGGTCTGCGAACCATCTTGTGTGCCCAGCATCCCCCAGCACAGACGGAAAAGCCTATGGAGGGAGCTCACTGACCCTCAGCCAGGCTGCAGTCCCTGAGCCAATGGGGCATGAACCCCAGAGATCTGACATCACCCTTCTCTCCCATTGAGTCTCTGCTGGAGAAACATTGATTTTCCCATTTCAGCAGCTGCCTTCCAGGGCCTGGGACAGACAGACAGAAGAACATTTGAGTCCTTGATACTCAGAACATTGAAGCTGCGAGGAAAGGAAATGGTTATCAAATTGGATCATTTTACAGATGAGGAAGCTGGGCCCCCGGCAGTGGAGTGCTGTGGGGAGCTCCCAGCTTCTGATTCAGACAGGGCCGGGTTCGGATTCCTGCTCTGTCCCTGGCTGCCTCTGAGGGCTTGAGTGATTTCCTCGGTTAAGTGTAAAACAGCTGGTGCTCTCTCCTTGAAGAATTTGGTTGTGCGCTGGATGGACACCGTGAGTCATTCTGTTCTGTTCAGATTGCAGGAGATGGCCCTCCGGAAAGTGTCCCCATGTGGGGCTGCTCAGCAGGTGTTGGCTCTGTCTGGAGACCATGCTCACAGTTTCTAGAGACCTGGGGTGCTCAGGGCTCAGCGGTATAGCGGGGCCGAAGCCACTGTCCAGACTCACAGGCCCAGTGAGGGCAAGCAGGGGCTGCCTCAGCTAGTGTTCCGAGCTGGAGACACCGAGGCCCCAACCCCCCCCTCCCCGCCGGATGTCATTTGAGGCTTTGCTGTCAGTTATTTGGGTAACTCACTCACAGAGAGCTATGGATGGTCTCTGTCCTCGTGTCGGTAGCTTTAGCATGGCACTGTCTTCAAAGGGATTGCTCCAAACAGATGCTTACCTGGCTGCCCTTCCCTGCCAGCATCCACCTCTGCCAGGCCCGGGACCACAGCTATGCAAGGAACAGCCATTCTTTTAATCTTTTTTTTTGAGCTTCCCATGCCTTGAAGGCAGCACAGGTTGGCCTCCAGGGCTGGAGCGGGTGGGCTTCCTCCCATCCATGAGCCAGTGCTCCTCCCTGGCTCCTCTCCCCAACCCCTTCCTCTTCCTCTGTCTCCCCTCCTTCCTCCACACTCTTCCCTGCTGACCAGACAACCAGTCTTGGGCTCTGTCTCTCTCTCTCTGCTTCCAGTGCTCAGCCTGCCTCTCCCGCTCTGGGCTTCTCCATCCTGCATCCTCAGGCTCCCTGCCACCCCCTGCCTGGGCCTCCCCACTGTGGAATCCACCCTCTCAGGACCTCTCTGGTCACTGTCTTCCAGGTCGCCCAGACCCCAGGCCACGTATGTGAATGGGGGCCTCCCGGCCACACAGCACATCAAGCAGGAGGCCCTGCCCGACTACCGGGCCATGACGGAGGCCCGCGCACCCCTGTCTGCCCACTGCAGGGCGCCGCCCGCCGCTGGCCCGCACGCAGACCTGGACCTGCCCGGCCGAGGCCTCGCCAACCCCGCATCGTCCTGCTACCTTCTGGGCAGTGAACCCAGCCCGGGCCTGGGCCCTCCGCCCGAGGCCCGCCTCCCTGAAGGCAGCCTGAAGCGCTGCTGCCTCTTGGGCCTGCCCCCCGCCTCCTCGGCCTCCTCCTCACCCTGCGCCTCCTCCGACATCACCTCCATCATCCTGTCCTCCCAGACAGCTCTGGTCACCTGCGTAAATGGACTCCGGAGCCCCCCTCTGCCAGGGGACCTTGGGGCCCCTCCCAAACGGTCCCGGCCCGGCCCTGCACCCAGTGAGAGCCTCGGGGGCAGTTTGCAGCTTGAAGCCTGCCGGAGGGCAGGCTTCCTGAAGCAGGAGCCTTCGGACGAGTTCTCAGAGCTCTTCGGGCCTCACCAGCAGGGCTTGCCGCCCCCCTACCCCCTGTCCCAGGTGCCGCCCGGCCCAGGCCTTGGAGGTCTGGGGCTGGGCCTGGCGGGCCGGGTGGTGGCTGGGAGGCAGGCGTGCCGCTGGGTGGACTGCTGTGCAGCCTACGAGCAGCAGGAGGAGCTGGTGCGGCACATTGAGAAGAGCCACATCGACCAGCGCAAGGGCGAGGACTTCACCTGCTTCTGGGCGGGCTGCGTGCGCCGCTACAAGCCCTTCAACGCCCGCTACAAGCTGCTCATCCACATGAGGGTGCACTCGGGCGAGAAGCCCAACAAGTGCATGGTGAGTTTCCCGGCCACCAGGCCATGCCCCAGCCCCCGTGGCAGAGCAGGGCCACCTGCCTACCGGCAGAAGTCTACCTGGAACTCCTTCCTGGGGGGCTGGCTGAGACGCCCCGTGGTTGAAGAAGGAAGGAGCAGTGCCATGGATGTGACCATGGTCAAGGCGGTCAGTGTCCCTGTCACTGGGAACCTTGGCAGAGGGCCCCTCGTACTGGCCAGGTGCCCCATCCCCCACCCTCCATGTCCTCGTGTTGGACACACTAGTTCAGGTGGTCACACAACTTCTGAGGTCAGAGCATGCACGGCCAGCCTCCCTCTTACGCACAGATGGCCAGTGTCCCCTTGCCGATGGCCGAGTGAGTCGTGGGGCACACGCTCTCCTGCAGCACGTGCTCTTCCCCTACTGTCCTTCCTAGGGAGGCTCCTGGAGCAGGCCCGGCTTCCTCCAAGGAGCAGTGGGTCCTCACAGGCGTGCACCGTGAGGGCTCTGGGTCTCCAGAACAGACTTTGGGGTCAGGCCAAGGAGTGGCAAATAAGGCCCTGGATAGCACTTGCAGTGTTCTGGCTGGGGTTGAGAGTAAGGTTTCCAGGGATACATAGGTACACACAAAATCACACCCATTTACTGTAGGCACCCTGGCCTCTGACCCTTCCGACTGGTTGTTTCTGTGTTCTGCGCTCGCAGTGGTGGAAATCCATGTCAGAGGCTGGGAACCTAGTCTTAGGCCATGATATCCTCAACCAAATCCCTGTGCCTCCCCCAGGGCCCAGCCAGCCCACCGGGAGAGACTCCTACCCGGAAGTGGAAGGGCCCAGCGCAGTCCTCTAGCCATGGGGACATTGGTGAGGCGGAGGAAGGAAGCAGTGTGTCTAGTCTGCAGAGCCAGCATTGTGGCCAAGGTTGAGGTCTTCCGCACTTGCATGCTGTCACTGTCACTAGGCCCTGTCTCAAGGAGCACTCAGTCTGGGAAAGGGTGCATGGGGTGGGGGTACACCTCTGTCCCCTCTCGAAGCCCAGGGCAGCATTTGTAGGGGCTGGAAGGAGGCAGGGAGCATTGGCAACCAGCATCATAAACTCCATCCTCCTGGGACCAGGTGCTCACCCTCGGGGCCCCATCTGCTTGTGGAGCTGTGAGCTAGGCATCCACCGGACCAGCTTATTCAGCTTCAAGGAGGCTGGGTCTTGAGAATGAGAAGGAATTTGCTTTATAGACAACTGAGGGGCAGCGAGCACCTCTGCAAAGGAGTGGAAGTAGGAGGGAACCTGGGGTTGGTGTGCTGGCGGCGTGGGGAAAGGGAGTGAGCAGGTGCGGAATTTGATGTTATCGTGTGCCTTTAGGCTGAGAGTGTGCTGGAAGGAGAGCTGGTGGCTGGGCCGGTCCCTGGGGATGCACCAGCTCCTTTGGGGTGTTGTGACACATGAGTTGCTGGAAGGTGTGCCCCTGCCTGGAAGGAGATGCCCAACAGACCTCGCAGGCCAGGGCTGCTGGAAGACAGAGGAGCCCCTCTCTCTCTGAGACCCTGGAGTTGACAGCTGCTGAGCTTTGGTTCGCCTTCATGTCTTCTCTCCTGTGGGTGATCTCACTGGTGTCTGGGGTCCTACATGGAGGCTGCATGGCCTGAACCCTGGCGTGGCGTGGTCCGTGGCCTTCTCTCCCTAGGGCCTCCCATGTGGAATCACGGCATCCAGGAGTATCCGTGTTGGACACAGGGACCTTGGAGATGATCTTAGCCTTCCTGCCCATTTTCCGGTTCAGGAAATGGAGGCCCAGCGAGTGGCCCCAAGTGGCTCAGACTTCTCAGTGCAGCCTCAGGGTCTCTGCAGGGCTTTTCTCTTGGTCCGGCCTGTCAGGGTGTTGTTTGAGTCAGCACACTCCACAGGACACTGGCTGACAGCTGGCTCTGGGGACTGAGACCTGAACCTGCCAAGGTCTTTGCCTGGGGGCACTCACTGTCAGGGAGGGGTGGGAGATGGGCGTGGAGATCATGGACAGATTTGGGGATGGAATTCGCATTGGCCCAGGGAGGGGAGGCCCAGAAGGGCTTCATGGAGGAGGTGATGGTCAAGCCATGTCTCTACTCATCTGTGGTTGCATTTAATCTTTACAAGAGTCCTGTGAAACCAAAGGTTTTTACAGATGAAGAAACAGAGGTTCAACAGGTCCAGCTGGCTTTCTACCTGCTACTGTGAGAACACTTCATCTTCCTCTTTGGGGGTTGGGATTCTGGTAATAATACCAGCAAGCAGCTTCTGAGTGCTGACTGTGTGCAGGGGCTATTCTAAGTGATAACTCCGTGTGGTCCTCACAGCAGCCCTAAGGGGTGGATACAGTTGATCCCCACTTTGCAGATGAGGAAACTGAGGCTCAGAGAGATTACGTAATTTGCAGCAGGTCACACAGCTAGTTAGAGACGGACAATAACAACAGCAATAATAATCGAGGCTAATAATCATGATAGTAATAACAACTGTAACAATAACTTGCCAGAGGTTGCACAGCTGGTAACATTGGAGTGGCAGTGAGCCCACATCTTTCTAAACTGGATGCTCTTGTTTGTGTAAATTCCTCCTGTTAAAGTGATTATTCCCTGGGGCCCTAGGGCAGCCCGGCTGGGTGCCTTCATCGGAGATGCTGGCAGAGATCTCTGAACTCCTCCCTGCCTGCGGTGTGAGTGCTCCCCCTTGCCACGACGCCAGCGCAGTAGGTCCCCCAGAGGAAGGTCAGCCCTGCCCACACCCAGATAAATGTAAAATTATTAATTTCTCGTGACAGGCCTCTGCTACCATGTGCTGTAATAGACAAAGGAATTTTGGACCTGGAGCCTCTGGAGAACAGGAAATAGATGAGACACTTTGATTGAAGAGTAAATGGCCCACTAAAATAGCAGTTAATCCTTTTATTATCTTTCCAGCAGCGTTTCCACAGTTCTTTCATGAGGTAGCCCTCCCGCCCCCTCCGACGGTAACACCCCGGCCTGCAGCTGGTTTGCGTTTAGCGGGCGGAGCCGGCCCCGGGACAAGGTGGCCCCAGGAGCCCGAGGAGCCTGAGGAGCCCAGCGCCCCTAGCCCAGGCCGCTCAGTCCTCAGCCAGGCCTGGGCGTGGACTCGCCCCACTGGCCCCGGGGGACACCGCACCAGCCGTCCCCCAGCCTGCCCTCGCCGCGGCCGCGGTCCGAGGAAGCGCCTAATCTCCTTGCAATATCCTGTTGTGCTCTGACGTTGTCCGAGAGTCTTGGCCTTATTAAATCCGGGGTTTCGTCTGCGTTGCGAGCAGGGTTCCATCCAACCCAAATACCGGAGCGACGCCTTGAAGACGTTGACTTTGAGAAGATTAATTTCTTGCTTTCTTAGGTTGGCTCTCTCAGACGGTTGGAATTCTGATTGTCTGAGCCAGGAGAAATTACCAGACTAAGAGTTTGCTTTCCTCCACATCAAGAGAAAGAGAGGCAGAGTGGAGAAGGAGGGGCTCTCCTCACCCTGTTTTATAGAATGACCGTGTTAATGACACCGCCCTGACTTTCGTGAAGAGCTTTGGCGAAGCTGTGAGTGCAGCGTGGAAGGTGTGTGTAGACAGGAGAAAAGTCTGGAGTCACACAGACCTGGGTCCCTGCCGGGTCCTGCCACTTGCCAGCTGTGTGACCTCAGGCAGATGGCTTAGCCTTTCTGAGCCATAGCGTACTTGACTGTAAAATGGAGAGATGCTAGTGTCTGCCGTTCAGGATTGTTGTTATTAGGGTTGAGGGAGATGACCGAGGGAAGTGCTTAGTTAATTCTCTTCCTCCTCCATAACACTCCTCCACATTCATCATCTCAGGAGATTTGTACAGTAGCCCAAGGAGTTAGCACAGGATCCTTTATGCTCCTTTACAGATGAGGAAACTGAGGCTTGAAAGAGCCAATCACTTGTGGAGCCTGGACTTGAGGTCACCTGAATCCAGCAGGCTCCACCGTTGGTGAGTGGGCAGGGCTGTCACACGTGCCGGGGGCCTAGCTGTCAGGTGTCTGCCAGCGGTGCGGAGGGCCTGCTCTGTGCAGCCGGCGTCTGTTCGGGGTGACTGGAGCTGCAGGGGGCTGGGCCGGAGGTTCGGAGAGGAGGCTCCGCTCTGTGCCCTCCCCGCCCTGATGCGCAGCTGCAGCCCCGAGGCTGGACTTCCATCCTGCCTGGGTTCCTCTGGCAGCTGCAGCCGCACTGGCCACTGGTCCCCATCCTTTACGCACCCCCCAGTGTGTCCTAGGTGCCCCTGGACTCAAGGACCAGGGGAAAACGTCAGAGAGAGGCTTCACTGGGGTCATGGGATCATATCTCTTGGGAAGTCCGGAGGGAAAAGAGAACTAGTATATTCTGAGACAAGCCGTGCCCAGCCATGACTTACCGAGGAAGAAACTGACTTTCACAGATGAAATATCCATCTCTGCGTCACCGAGCTCAGCTGCCTGGACTGTTCCCCAGGCCGTGCTGCCTTCTACCCACCTCCTTTCCCCAGCAGGGCAGAGCCCTCTGTGCTTCTCAGATCCCATTGGGTGCTCCCCAGGCATCTGCTCCTCCCCCCTCACCACCTCCTGAGACCAGCCTCATGGGTGGGGCACATATCTAGGCCGGCAGGCACCCCTGGCTCATCTCAGCATCTCGGGCTCATCGCAGGGAATTATCCTGGAGCCTGAAATGTCTGAGCAGGCAGGTCTTGCAGTCCCTCCTCTCTGTGTATGGAGAGGAAATGGGGAAGGCAGACCCTGAGGGGAGGAGAGGCCCAGGGTCGCACAGGAAATGGGGCAGCTTCTGTGGGCAGGGAGCTCCTAAAGCGGCTGGTGACCAAAAGTTGGAGGAGGTTAGACTGTGGAAAGTGGCCTTCAAATGAGGGAAGAGCCCTCCCCTGGGACGCTCGCCCACCCAAGGGCACACTCCCCTGTGCCAGGCCTTGTGCTGCGGGCTGGGGCTCCAGAGACGATGTGATGCGAGACTTCGGTACTGTGGGAAGGATGCTATCCTTGAGTCTTTCGAT